AAAATTACATAAATGCAAATAAAATTCCATCAAACTATTATAAGAAGCTCAATCCAAGTTAAAGACAGTGGAAAACGTAATTTCTATTAAATAGTCAGAAAATCTATGTACACTTCTGACTGAAAAGTTCTTTTAAAAATGCTTGTTTTGTTGTTGTTTAGCGTATGTCAATAATCCAAACGGGAAAAGTTTGTTTGATTAATGTGAAATAGTGGGGGGAAATATATTTTATCCTTTGATAATGTATGTTAATGTCTTGTTTAAGCTGTATGTCAAACTACAAATTGTAGACTGCTTCAAAAAAGCCATGTGCTTCTTTAGTAATAACAAAATAGCATTGTCTAAATGATTAAGAAATAGAGTTTTTACAATGCTAAAATGAGATTTAAAAGAAAATCTGGCCTGATGTTTGTTGTCAGGTAGTTCAGATTTGTTCAGCTCTGACATCAAATTAAAATTTGATTAACATCAAATTAAAAAAAAAAAAGATCCATTCTTTGATGAATGCAAACTGTTTCTCAGTTTAAACCTGGTTCTGTTTTTTTTTTAAGCAAAAGTATATATTTTTTATACAAAAACATTCTGTTTGATTTTCAATTTACACAGTTGCCCAACAGATTTGCAGGTTAGCGCTCAGTGACATGTTGATATTGCTGTTTATGTACTTCAGAAATTCATTTTGTGGTTATTCAAGCTCTTATTGTTGTGAAAACCGCCTGTTATGACCAACGAGTCAGGCTTCAGAAGATGGTTGTCATGAAAATAATGATTTAAAAAATGATTTGAAGGTTTGTATATTAAAAAAAAAAAAAATCCCTCACAATGTCTGCACTCAGATTTTTTTATTATTATCATTTTTTAAAATTTTGCATGTGACAGATCATACTGTCATGATACTCCTGAATAACTGCACACGGAGGACTTTCGGTGAGAGGGTTCGCGTGTTGTGTTGACTATTTAAAACCGCTGATGGTGTCATGGCAAAGCTCTGAATTAAGTGATCCAACAACTGCGAACGAGGCCTGCTGGTGCTGGCCCCCTGCCTCCTCTCGGCGCACTGCTGGACGACACAGCCGAGTTAATTACTGCAGCCCCCTCTCTGTCAGAGGGCTCAGGCTTAAATTATCACCTCTAATGCACCCCTGCACATGGCAGCAACACTCTTGTGCCCTGTTGTTTGCATTGTTAACCACATTCGCTCGTATTAAGAAACAACTTAATGCCGTGCCCTGCAGAAGTATTCACACCCTTGAACTTTTATAAGTTGCATCATGTGAATGCCACAGGCTTTAATGTTTTATAACTAAAGTGAAAGAAAGTGACTGGTTCAAAATCTGGAAAGTTATTCAAACTGAATCTTTATTGTTTGCTTTTATGTATGATTTTGTTTATTGCTTTATTACACTACGCTCAATGAAGTCAAACTCAAACCACCTTGAACATACAGCACAGTCAAAGTTCAGACCTGAATCCATGTTAAGACGTGAAAACCGGTTTTCACACACGTTCATCAAATCTAACTCAACTTGAACTACTTTACAAACCCTCTTTTTGTGCAACATTGGTAGAAAAACACACCAGAAGACTTGCAGCTGGAATCATAGCTATAGGTGATCCTACAAATTCATAACTCTGGAGGGCCGAATAAAAATGCATGCCACACTTGTCAGATTTTTACTTGTGAAAATACTTTTAAAAAAAAAACATGAACGCTGTAACTTCCTTTTTAGTTATTTTCTACGTTGTGTTTAAATATTATGCAAACTCAGTAAGATACAGACACGTTTATGTTACAGTGACAAAATGTGAAAAAGCTCTAGGTCAAGACCCTGTACGCTAGTTCTGGTGTTTTACATCTCGAAGACATTTGGAGCACAAAGCAGGTTGTGGGGTATTTGTAGCAACCCTTCGTCCCCTCAGATCAAAGCGGATCTGTCTCTGAGCTGCAGACAGCGTACCTGCGCAGGGAGAAGCTCTGCTGGGGAAACAAAGATGGGTGGTCCCAGTCATCTCTTCTCACCTTGACACGACGCAAACCCACCCTGCTAGCTCCTCCACAGCCATTGTTTCTTCATCTGAAGCAGAATCTGCCTCCGAGAGGAACGCCATCTGCTTTATCTGCTGTTGGCTGAGAGCATGTCATATGGCTTTTAGGGAGGGAATATTATAGAGGCTGATAAAGCTGGTGGAAATTAAATATTATGCTGGTGATGAAAGGATTTTGCTCTGGTGAAGCATATGCTTGGCTGCTCTTTCATCTTTGTGTTTTATTTCTGTGTTTCAGAAGATTGGACAAAGGGAAAAAAAAAACCCACGCAGACTGGCTCTCCTGGTCCTTCTGTGTTTCATCCCATCGTATTGTTACCTTAGCGCATCCGCCCCCAACATCACTGCAGATCTATTCATAGCTCCTTGTGTCTAATTTCAGCATCCAGCCCACTTTTTTTTTTTTTTTACTAAATTTCTCACAGTTTTTGCTCAATTCACTCATCCAGAAACGCACAGCTGTGTCACACAGTCATTACAGAGTTACAACCATCCGTCTCGCACCCACTTCATACCGAATCCCTCATTTGTTCCTCTCGTCTTTTTCCTGTGATCTCTGCTGCTCCTCGTCTCTGGCCAGCATGTGGTCCAACTTCTTTGTCCATCAGGAAGAGGAGGGCCGCATGGGGGTCGCAGGGGGCGGTCAGGGCGGGGGTCTGGCCGGAATGAAGGGCTTTAGAGGAGGACAAAGAAGGACCAACAAGATGAGTGACAGCCAGGAGGGTAAGATCAAGCTGGTCTTTTTTGTGGCGATCGTTGGGGTGACCCTGACGGTGCTGGGCATGGGAACAGAGTTCTGGGTAGAGCTGGCCCAGCCGAAGAATTACAGCGGCAACCAGACCTGCCAGATGGCCCACTACGGCCTGTGGAAGGGCTGCATCCGCACCCTGTTGGTGGCCGACATCGACCCGGAGAGGACGAGCTGCGGCCCTGCTGAGCTACCTGGAGGTGAGATCAATGGCTGCTCCAAAAAAGCCCAGTCCGAAAAAGGGATAAATTACAGACGTTGCTACCAACACCTAAATAGTCTTTTCTTAGATTTTAGACTTAATTTTTTGCAAGTTATCCAACATATTTCATTACAATTTGCTCTTTTTCTTTAGATTTCTGCCCTGCCTCCCTAGACAAAATGTATCTACGTCACCATATAGATAATGTGCATATTGAATCTTTAAAGACATGGGAACCTATCCAGTAAAATTACACAGCTGTTGTGGTATGTATTTCATTTTTCCTATCTAATCAAAACAGCACTAAGATAAAATAATGATTTTTTTTTTTTCAGTCGAATCTGACTGAAGCTTTATTGCTAAGAATGAGCAAAAATGAAAAGAGTCTAGATAATAAAAGCTGATAGAAACATACACATGGGAGCAGAATATCAGGGTACAGCCATATTTTCTAGATTTTCATTTGGAATAAATTTTTCACAATTATGCCCTGCTTGGTGTTGGTCTATATTGGTAAAATGTATCGATGTATGCTGCTGTCCAGGTATGAATATATTTACAAATCCCTGCATATAACCTGTCATGTCCTGTTGTACATTAGGTGATAAAGACCATAGGTTTCTTGTTTTGACAGACAACCGTGTTTACTGTAGTGACGGCTCCTTTCCAATAGCGCTTTATGCAACTTGACCGTGGCTGGGTTCTCCGGAGATTATCTGCACAATGACCTATTTCTGTCTGAAAGGTTAGCTTAGACGTGGAGAGAGGCATTTACTGAAAGACCTCCTGGACTCACTGACATGCTCAGAGAATTTCTCAAGAGAAAAGCAAATATTTTCCTCACAGACATCAAAATGAAGGAGTGTGTGATCCTTCTCAGCCAGCACCAGGGAAAATTGACTCTAGGGTGACGGACAGAAGGCTTCGACCATTAGCCTCAGATTCAGGAGGAGCGGTGTTGCTTTCCTCTTGGCCACGGAGCAGAGAGGACCAGATCTTTGCCTGCCCAGAGCTGCTGAGGTTGTCAAGGTAGTTTGGTTGTCCAGTCTAAAAACGTATCCTGTGGATCTGTAGAAGGCTTGTAGCTGTATTCCCTGAAATGTGTCTGCAGTCTTGGCACAAAGTTGAACTCTGGTGCTTCTTGTCCACAGTCCTGTTAATGATCCACAATGCTTTTAAAAATATATTCTAGAGATTGCTGAGACAAAGGGAGGACTCTTTGGAAAGTGAGTGCCTTGCTGTATTTGCCCCAAAACTAACATATCTGCCTTACAGATATTTCCTAACAAAGTATTGGAAGTACGATGGGGTTGCTTTGCTGCTGGAGTGATAAATTCTGGATAATCCAAACGGGTTGAGTTGTGCAGTAGGACCTCGAATTGAACCATGTGCTCCTCTGAATGGCTCAATGAAGGTTCAGAAGTGGCCTAATTAAAGTCTGGACTTAAATCCAGCTCATTGCCAGTATCTCAAGTACTTGGGAGCAACTAGGTTTTGCCACAGGGGTATGTTCTGGATCACCGGCTGTTTCTGGCCAGCAGGTCTGACTACAAGAAGGTTTGTCGACGTGTGTGAGAAGCCAGCATGCTCCTGACAATCTCCTTCTCACATCCCTCCACAGTTGGCCCACGCTGCCTGTCACAGATGGCTGTGAGCTCATCACATTTGTAGAAAAACAACTGTTTTCACCATCCTCTGCCTTTTCCCTCTCGTATCAATGTTTACGCGCCTCTGGCTGCCGTCCCGGCCTGCTGATGTTGCGTCTGTCATCTTAAGACCAGCAATCCATCTTCGTTGCCCGCTGGACCGAGAAAGTGACGGCTCAATAATTACAGTCTCAGCAGGGGTTGCGAGAGGGAAAAAAAAAACAAGCTGACTGTGGAAGCGTAATGTGTGACAGAATCAGCGGGCTGATAAATGCCGGATCAGTTTCAGAGCTTGTATGTGGGCTAAAGCCATGTTTGTGTGTGGAGGAACTGTATGTGTAGTCATCTTGGACATCTCTTTTTTTTCTGTGGGTTAAAATCATCACTATGCGCCTGTGAAGCCAAGTGGAATCTGACTACTTCACAGTTTTTGTCTAAATATAGAGAGTGGGAGGGGGGGGCAAGGAAGAGGGACAGACATACAGACAGACAGAGAGACAGAGAGAGAGAGAGAGAGAGAGAGAGTGTGTGTCTAATGCAGTATTAACCAACCCCTCTGTGTTTTCTCTCCCTCCTGACTTATCCTCCTCCCTTCACCTCCTTCTCCATCTGTGGCTCTCCTCTATCCTTGCCTTCATTCACCACCCCTCCATCTGCCTGAAACGCACTCCTCCATATTCGCTTATATCCCATCCTTTGAACTCTTCTTCTTGTTTTCTTTCCCTCTGCCGCCACACGTCTCCTTGTCACAATACGCACCATTCTCTCAGTCTTCCTCTCTTACTCCTCTCTGCTATTCATCCTAACGTTTTGCTGTCTCTCGCTGTCTCTGGCTGCACCTTATGTGCAGTGGTATGAGACGTATGTGTGTGTGTGCACGCAGAGGTGTGTGTGTGTGTGTCTGTTTTTTTTAAGCTCGACTCTTGGATATAAATAGGAATGATGCCTGGAAGGACAGAGTGCATGGATGCGTATAGTAGGCACATCAGAGGAGACCAGCAGCCATCCAGAGGAACATGTGTGTGTGTGTCTTTGTCTTATCTTCTGTTTGTACCCACAGAATCCAACTGCACCTACTTCAAGTTCTTCACCTCTGGGGAGAACGCAGTCATATTCAAGAAGACGACAAACAGAAGTGAGACATGTTTACCCTCTTTACTCCACCGCTGTCTAACGAACACACACCGGTTACACCTACCGTCCAATAAAGATGCCCACTGTGGTGCTCACAGAACCGTTTGTGTTAGCCCATTAATTTCCACAGCCACCCATTTTCCAAGGTAAAGCTATACGCTATCAGACTGATTAATGTGCTTACCATCGCGCTCAGGGAGCCACTTGTTTCAGTGCAGTTTCCAGATTAGCTTGCTGACACTTAAATCTTGTCTCACACCGAGCGTTGGTCATCTCTATCAGCAGCTAAAGTTGTGTTGCTAATGCTTAAAACCCCACTTTTCAAGAAGCTGTCATCTTTAAAAGGTGTAGATAAGCCTTGTAGCTGAAATCAGATATTTTCATGAACTGTATAAACTTTTTTTTTTAACTATATTAAATCACACTAAACATTTCCTGTTAAAAGGTTTTTAGAGAAGCGTTATTTTGTCCATCCAAATCAGAGGTCTATATTGGCGAACTGTGCCTTGAAACAGTTTTAGACAGCCCAGATTACCGTGTCGTTGCTTTCCAAGACTTCTGAACCTATAATTTGCAACAATTGCATCAAATTGAGGCGTGACAATTTTATTTTTATAGCACAAGAAGGCAATTCAAAGTGTTTTACACGAGGCAAGACCTCAAACACACTCCTTCCTCGTGTGACATCATGAGAAAATTAAAAGCCACCAATCACAATGTGAGGAAGAGAATTATTGTGGACCTCCACAAGTCTGGTTCATGCTTGAGCACCACTTCTAGATCCTTCACAGTATCTACAAAAATATTTGCATGTTTTGTATTTGATTCCCATCACTTTAAAAAAACGTCAAACTCAGATTTTTACTTCTAAGATAGCTGCTGTTAGAGTTATTCCTGAGACAAATAGAAAAACAATTAGCGAATGGTTTTGGGGGTTAAGTAAGTATCTCAACATCCTCCTTATTCACACTGTTTTTCTGTACGACTTTTTCTCCTTCAGTTTTCTAAGTTCATGGCAGTTTTGATACCGACGACTCATAACTACACCACACAACCTCACCTCAAAGAAAAAACATTTTTGATAATGTATAGTAAGTTCAGATAATATTATTATACATACACGTTCAACTAATAGCGCTATTATTATGCTGGTAAGCCAACTGGACGTCACAGAAATGAATTAGATTTGCACAATCTGTTGTGCTTGTGCTGAGAATTCATTTAAAAAAAAAAAACATACCAGGGGAAACTTAACACATGATGGACACGCATGTTCTCAGAGAAGAGAAAAAATATTCAAGTCCTTTCAAAAAAAAAAAAGTTTTAATCTTTAAAAGCAACAGAGATATTTTTGTGTTGCATCCAAACTGGGTGACGATTGGCTTGTAAAGTGACTCCTGAGTGTGATGGAAGCAGGAACACGAGTTTTAGGTTTAATTTGTTGTCGAATATTCCATAATAATGAGCAAATATGCAAGAATGAAAGATGTCTAGATTTACAGAGTGAACCATATGGTTGTTAATATTTTGTTAAACAGAAACTGGAGGGCATATTTGGAAAATCCTACTTTAAACTGAAAAGGTTTTTATGCAACTTTGCTTCCTAAATTTTCTGTCTTCTCCCTTTTACAGATTTGAACCTAGCAGCAGCCATCTTGGCTCTTTTGAGCCTGACCATGATGGTGATGGGCTCCATCTGTATCGCTATGTCGCTCAGCAAAGGAGTGCCCTTCTTTCTCAAACCAGCATCCTTCTGTTTCATCCTATCAGGTGACAGTCAAGATTCCCATGAAGGCTTATATATTTACAGAGTTCGACCCTTACATGCACTTTATTGTCTGTACGTGTACTTTATCTGCTGACAGGCTTTAGAACACCTTTTGAGGCTTTGGACACTTTTGCAGCCCCTTTCTTCTTATAAGCCTAAATAAAATGGGTGGAAAATGTTACTTTCTGAAGTCACCCAGTTAGTGAATGTCACCAGGCTCTTCTCAATCTATTCTTACTATAAATACAACAGAAAACATCAACGAACAGGACTAAATCTAAGTTGCAATTACACACTGCTTTGTGTTAGTTCAACACATAAATTACCAACAAAGTGCGATGAAGTCTGACTCAAAATGTGATAATCAAGGTGGCATAAACACCTTTGGAAGGCACAGTTTATTTTAGGCTGCAACCTTCACCTAATCCCCGTTTATCATGTGTTCCAACTTGTGCAGGTGTTCTGGTTCTCCTGTCGGTGCTGATTTTCCACCAGTCTGTACTGGCGCTGCTGTCCAGTGACCACTCCATACCTCTTCACCATGAGCTGTCTTGGTCTGTCGCCTGCGTCGGCTCAGCCGGAGCCATCCTCATCGTTGGAGGCGTCCTGTTCATCTTCCTCGCTCTCCCTTTTAGTCCCTGGCAAAAATGCTTTCCACACAAGGATAGCACCACCTAGCCCTTAAAATATGAATACTGCAAACGATATCCTCAGTATTTTTTTTTTTTTTTTTTTTTGAGGAAGCGAACACCAAATTCCAACAGCTGTGACTTTAAGCTTGCATTTTGGTCTGTAACTTGCCATAAAAGACACACTAGGTCTTAACTGAATTTGAGAAGAGGAATGAATGACACATAAAACACAGGAAGGCCTCTAGACTTAGGATTTTACAGTAAACTTTGTTATGTCAGTAATGTGTAGCGATGAAGATGAAACGACTCTTTTAGAATTAAAGCCGAATCACATATAAACCAATATGTCTTTGCATGCCAAGAGCTGTAAAACTGCAAATAAATATTCTATTTTTACTAATATGCTTTTCTGTTTTCTTTGTTTTGAGGTTTGTTTATATTTACCACAGCCGTCATAAGTACAGAAACAGAAAATAAACCATAGATCTAAATGATGAAATTATGAAGTTATGTTAGTTCATGACAATCATAACTTTTCTGAGATTTTCAAGACATTAGCCATAAAGTGAAATGCCAAAATCAGTTGGCTTTGTTGTTGATCTTTGGACGTTGTACAGACTTTTCCCTCCCGAGAGCCACCAGGCACAAAGTTTGACAAAACAAACAAAAACCTTTTCAAATTTTATGCAAAATGCAATAAACAACACAATTTCTGCTGATACATAAATTAAGAACTTCCTTATTTATTCCTACTTAAAAGACCCATAATTCCTTAGATCGAAGGTTAAAACATTGTAACTGCTATTTGAAGGAAACTGGCACATTTCAAACCTCAGATATTTCATTCAGTGATTCTGACTTTAAGAGAGAATATCGTGGTGAGACTTTAAGTGCTGCCTGAGGCCTTCAGAAAGGTTGTAGCAGCTTATGAATCTGATAAGGGGTTCAGAAAAGTCTCAAAATAATGTGAAATCAGGCCACTATCTTTAAAACTGCAAGTGGACAACAATCAGGAGAACTGCTTACAGGTACAGTTGTTCACCTCAAAAGCAGATCACAAGATTTAAAGATATGTCTCCAAAAGCCCTAAAATGTGAACAAAGGACCTCCAGCAGGCTATCGTTTTTGTTGACATGAAAATGCACATTTCTGCGATTAGAAAGAGACTACGCAAGTCTAACTTTGATGAAAGGTGTGCAAAACAAGAAAAAAAGGGATGAACGTAGACCAAGACCAGGATTTCTGGAATTATGTTGTTTCGGCAAAAGTATAAAAACTTGTATAATTTGGACTCCAAAATAGAGTCTATGTTTGGCATAAACTATAAACAAAAAATCTCAGAGTTTTTAAGTCTCAAAGTCTTGGGATCCTTTGCTGCAGCAGGAGTTGACATCTTACTGTCAAAGAATGAATGATTGGTCAATTCATAAAGGTTTGACAGTACATTTTTAAACAATGATACTGTATACTGTAGTATACATCTGATGATGCATGACAGTATCAGAACATACTGATACTGTGAGTATCAGTATGTTATATAAGTTTTATAAGGATTTAAGTTTCGTCAGTCATCATCGTGTATAAATCTTTGGCCTCTCTGCCATTCCACTTCTACTCGCAAGACGTCAGATCAACATTTACCAAAATATGAATTGAAGATTCAGTTATTATCTTACAACTATATGCATTTAGTTTCTTCAAATACAAGAGTTTACATGCAATTCCTTAATGACTGCTAGCACTTCCTTTCAATAGTAAGGCCTGGGTCAAATATTTTGGTTTTACATCTGCAAGCTTTTCACAATGGTTTGCTGGACCTTTGGCCTATTTTTCCAGACAGAACAGACGCAGCCTGTCTGGCTCACACACACCTTTTCAGATCTGCCCACAAGTTTTCTCTGGTGCTGCCGATTGCCACTCCAAAATATTAACTTTGTCATTCTTAAGACAACATAACTAACTTGGCAGTGTGCTTTGGGTCATTTTCCTTATATCCAGTTGTGCCTAAGGTTTTACTTCCTGGATGTTGTCCTGATAAGTTGTTGAAATATCTCCATGTAGTGTTATTTTCTCGTGATCCCGTCTATTTTGCGAAGGGCACCAGTTCCTCCTGTAGCAAAACACCAGCGCAAAAACAAACTGCCATTCCCATGCTTCACAGTCGGGATGACTTTTTGAGACTTTTCCTCATTTTCGTCCAAAAATAAAAAATTGTCATAATGGTCAAGCGCTCCAGTTTTAGCTTCGTCACAAATTAGAACATGTCTCTAGACAGTATGTATTTGTACCTGTGAGCATTTAATATCTGTAATTGGGCTTCCTGTGTGGTTTTTCCAAGTAGTGGTGTTTCCCATGATGCGTGACCTTTGAGTACGGCATCGATTCAGGACTGGTGTTTTGAGTTAAACAACTTCTTCATGCAGAAGAATAACTTTCTGAACGGGTTTGTGCAACAAATCAAACTGAACGGTGTCCCGTCTTTTGTTTGTGCTTTATGATTGTTCAGCGATTCTCTTAATGAATGCATAACTTTGTTTGCCATGATGAAAAATTTTTTTTGTTTTGCTTCTTTTTATCCTGAGAAGCAGCTACTATCATGTTCTTGAATTTTACACTGCACTCTGTTTATTGTTGTCATGTATATAGCATTTGTTTTGGTCAAAATTAAAACTATATAACATGAAGCAAATGCCTCCCTTTGTTTAGGCATGGTATTTTGACTGCGCTACTGTCTGACATCCACCTATTCCCACCACAAATCTGTGTGACAGATAACCTCTCAGCTAAATGTCCCCATTCCCCAGAAAAAAAAAACAAAAAAAACCGAGGAATAAAAAAAAACAACAAAACAAAACACTCCTCTATAATTAGTCCAGAGCTCATTGCAATGTATTTCACTGCAGAGGTTTGGGAAACCTTATCCTTGAATTTCAACCTCATGCCTGGCCCTCCGGCTTGTGCTCATACCTCTCCAACCCTGACCTCGATGCGTCACTTTCCCAGAGGTCTTCGTGAGAGGCCGGCGGGCGCCCTCCTCGCCTCACCTATCCGCCAGGACGGCCGACGTTTTTACGCCACACGCGGACAACTGACCGGCCAGCTCCGGAGCACTTCAATAAGCGCTCATGCATCCAGACTCACTGGAGAGCAGACGGCATCCAGACAAGCTCACCTGAGCCGTACTCGCATGCGTTTAGCTCCAAGCAGGCGGAAACATGAATCTACATGACACACTATCCTGCTTGTATATACAGCCATTAATAGCTCCACTCTGACTATGTGAAATGTGGTGCAGGGGCTTCGGCTGCTTGTTTACAAATAGAAACAAATTTTAGTTCTTGAAGCAGAACCAACAAATTAAAGGTGGAAGTAATCGAAAAATAAGCTGTTGTTGATCATTTCTAAAATAAGAAAGAGTTAGTGTCCGTCTATTAGATTTAACATTTTATCCCGGTCCTCCATTTCCTCATTGAGGTCGGTCTGGAGAAGGTTTGGTAATAGCAGGCAAACTAATCCTCAAAATCCAGGAAAACTTCTTGGACTTTTAGGATGCTTGTCTAAGATATCACACTGCTTCTTCCCTCCAGCTACTGTAAGATGAGCCATCTCTCAGTCTCTTGCCAGTCACTATTCCACTGCGGTCAGAATACACCGGCAGAGCAGACCTTGAGAGCAGCTTCTAATTGTTCATGCAAAAGTATGCATAAAATACCAGATGGCTCCATCTGAAAACAAAAAGTAAGAGTCACACCAAAGGACACTGGGATAACTTTCTGTTGATTCTCTCGCTATGAGTCTCTGCTAACTACCACCCATCTGGCACCATCTACGTATTTGCACACTTAAAGAGCCGCAGGTTTGACAGGGAAGGCCAAAGTCACTCCACACAAAAGATTAGACCTTGAGCTGGAGTATATGAAGCACTTATGTCGCAACTCTTTTGCAAAAACATCAACTCAGTTTGTAAAAGTCAAGTTGTAAAATACAAGATTTATGTGTTTCCCATGCAGTGGCTTCCAAAAGTATTCGCGCACTTGAATTTTTCCAAGTTGTCGCGTTATAACCTCTGACTTCATTCTGTTTCACTGGGATTTTATGTGATACACAAACACAAAGCAGTGCATTATTGAGAAGTTTAAAGAAATGTTATGGTCTTCAACAGTTGTTTTAGAATGAAAACTGAAAAGGTGTGGTCTGCATTTGCATCTACCCTCACATGCCTCCTCTTTTTAGTAAATAGAGTTCATACAGGTGTAATTTAATTTCATTATAAATCCAGATGTTTTGTGAAACCCTCAGAGGTGTGTTGAAGAGCATCAGTGAACAAATAGTGCAACTAAAGCCGAGACACGCAGCAGACAAGTTGGAGGACATTATAATGAAACTTTCTTTCAAACATGCCAATTGGTAACATGGTAACACTGACCCTACGGCGGCTCATGAGGAAAGCAGCATTATGCTGTGGGAATGAAGTGGTAGAGGTACGAGGACATCTGAACCAAGGCGGGTTTGGTTCTTTGGATACCAAGGGAACGTCTATCTCCTGAAGGTGAGGAGATAGATGGTGGTTTACAAGGAAGCTAGAATTTGCCAGACCAAGTGACCAGGTTAGCTACAAGTAGCAACACAAGCTTTCTTTGTCCAAATTGAAGCATTTAAATATTAAAAGAAAATGTTTACAAAAACAAGGCGATTGATTTAAAACCATCTAAACCATCAGAAATTCACTCCTTATTTGATTTTGAGTTCTGAGTGGAAAAAAAACACCTTTTACAAATGAAGGTGGAAATTAAAGTTCAGTTTTCAAACTGGACACTCAGAAACTATGAGCAGAAAGTATAAACTGAACACATCCCAATACATCAGTCATTGTCATTTCTTTTTTAAATAAATCCTTGATTGTTATCCTTGTTCTCTGTATAGTCATATTTGATATTATTTCAAACTGATGTGTTTCTGATCCTTCAATTATCTCCAAAACCAGACCTAGTTTTCAGTAAGTTCAATTTCATCTGGTGATGGCTGGTAAGACTGGCACCTGTTTTTGAAGACACTGGTGGTACTGAATCATCACATATAAAAAAATCTGTCATTATAAAAAGGTTTAAAACACTGATCAAGTTAGAATATTTTATTCTCTCTGCAACAATATCTAAAGCTCTTTACCCTAAGATTGATTAAAAAAACAATAGCTAAGGCTTAAATAGTAACTCTGATAAAAAGCAAAACAAAAAAAAAACTGTATTTGTTGAAATTTTCAAATACTGATTGGATGTAAAATGATGGAACAATAAAATCTGAAAGTGCAGAATTAATATTGAAAAGTAATTTTTCCCGGGATAATGACAGGCATTAAAACGGTTTACATCTTCACATCCTGCAGACGTAAACTCATGCACATTAAGTCTTTGTCTCACAGCAGGAAACAGTCTACAGTATTTTCCTTAAAAAAATGAACAAAAGACAAAAGTCTGTGAATATGTCAGTTATTGTTTTTTTTTTATAAACTTCGTGCAATACAGTGTTTGAGTTTATCACACATTTAGATAAACCATAGTCATTTGTCTAGATATATCTATTCTCAACTACATACTATTCATATTGCCCACATAAATGCTGTCTATGTGCAGTTTAGACAGACTGTTTTTTTTCTGAAACAAAATCAAACAAATTAAAAACATATAGAATCTGGAAGCATCTGGTTATTATTTAGATTCTTCATTTCGTCATGTAGCAGGTGAATCCCAGGTTTCCACCTGGATCTGCAGTCGCTTGGGACAGTTTAGCAGAGCGGTGGGACGGTGGGGGAGTTCATATGTGTTTACATTCTCATCAGCATCAACAGCTCTCACTCGGGTGTCGGCAGTTTCATGGGAAGCACAGTGAAAAGACTCTTTGGGGAGGTTTGGGAGTTTATCTCTGTGAGAAGACTATTGTCAGAGATGTGATAAGGTAAAGAAAAACAACAACAACAAAAAAAAACAACTGACCAGATATGGATTGGCTTTAGGTTTCAAGTCTGATGGGAACTCAGCCGACAGGCGTCCGTCAATCTGAACCTGCTTTTTCCAAATGCTTGAGCTGTGGTCCCAAAAGAAGGTATCTATAGAGTTTACAAATATGCATAAATTACAATGTACATGTCGTTTCCCCCCCAAAGTTTCCTCTTTGTTTAAACCCTTTTAACCCACATAGATGTGTTTTGTTCTGTGACTGAAAATGATTATTTGCATGGGTCACGTTAGGGCTTTTTTTAATACAAAAAATGGTGGATTTTTTTTCTCTCTCTCTCTTTTCAGGAAGCAATCTTTACCTGATTCTGTACATACGTTATTTTGCTTCTTTCTTCTTCTTTTTTTTATCCCCTCCAACAGAGGTTTCCATTAATGCCCAAGAACAAACATCTTCAACACAATAAAGCTACAAGTACTAACTGCTAACACTGATTAGAATGGAAATAAGACAAACAGAGCCCCATAGAAAACCCAAACCTGCACTAACAATGGAAATTGTTGGCTGCCTCAGTTGCTCATATTATTGTTGCATTTCTTTTAGCATCAGTATTGGAAGACAATTTACAGTATTCACATCTGACTTCTTCTTTTTTTTTTATAAAGGAACACTCTACATTATGGGAGTTAAAAAAATAAAACAGGCTCTCGTTCGCCAACAATTTGTGCACACTCATTCTTTAACACACGGCTACACACAGCTCACTGTCAGCTCTCAGTGGCTCTGCATGGATTCACAGTAAAAGTCATAAAGATCTAAAAAAAAAAAAAAAAAAAAAAGAAACTTAACGCAAAAGAATACAACACCATGAAAATCATTGTTTCATTCCAAACTAGTGTTTGCAAATACAACTAGCCTGTAATAACACCGAGAATAATCACAACAACAATTTACATTAATGATGCTCCGGTTAAATTAGCGATACTCTTGCACAGAAATTAGGTGAAGTGTTTTCATAGTAGCCCAAGGTTAATTGCATTTGATCATTAACAAAATAAATCATTTCTAGCACATCGAAATATCAAAATAGTTTATTTTGTGAAAGTTCATTGTTGTTGTTATTATCGTTCTGTTATTACTCTTCTTTTTTTGTTCTCAGTGAGATTGAGTCGACTAAATAACAGTGAACAAGGAGGAGAGTTATCTGCTGTCCTATTTTTTTATGTTCCCTCTTTCACTATCCCATCACCTTTCTTCTTCTTCTTACCTCCCTCCTCTACACAGGCGTTGTCTTCCTATTAAGGGTGTTAGAGTTGCTCTCCCTGTCTCCCTTCAGTCTGTCCAGAGTCCCCATCCCTCGCTCCCTGTCTACTGTGGACGACGTGAACGGCGGAGGAGCCACAGAGTTAGCCATCGGTGCGTTGGAGTTGGAAGTGTTAGAAGGGTTATGTGTCTTGAGTGAGGGCAGCGTGCCGCTCATCATGACTCCCCCTCCTCCGCCCCCATCTTTCGGAAAGCAGTTGTGGAGCTGGTAGAGTGTGGCCCTGTCCACGGTGCCGTACATGGGCGGCAGACCCGCCAGTTTGGGGTCGCGAGACAGCGTGTAGAGGGAGATGTCTCCTCCAGCCAGGGCCGTGTGCGAACGGGAGTGCGGGTTGGGCAGAGTGGAAACTGAGATGGGCCCCTGGGAGAGCAGCGCGGCGGGAGGCAGGCCGAAGTTCTTCCCTCCACCTCCCCCGACGGGCGAAGGGTCTCGGGAACGGGACGGGTCGGTGGAGCGTGACGAGGAGCGCGAGCGACGGCGGAAGCGGTAGCTGGGCAGGCGCAGCATGGCGTGTGTCGTGCTTTTAAAGATGTCGGTGCGAGAGCGGCAGCGGAGCTCTTTGTTTTTCTCGATGTAGATGTTGACGGCCAGCACCCCAACCATCTCGGCCATGATGAAGGATAAGCCTCCAAAGTAAAAGGACCATCCGTAGGAATACTGCCATTTTTTGTCTTCATCTTTCTTAGGCGAGATGTCTCCTAGTGCAGCCGAAATGTAGACGATCACACCAATTATGTTACTCAGACCTGTAAGGGCAAGAACAATGTTCTAATTATAAACAATATCTCAATTAGTGATTACAATTAAATGTTAAAGAAAATGCATGAAAAGTATTTATAATGTGTAGGGAAGCGTCACTTGAAATGCATTGTTTGTCTTCAAACATCAGGTGACAGGGGTCACAAGTTCACCAGGGAAACCTAGATATCTCTCTTCCCAGCTCATAATAAAGGATTTCAACGTGTTTCCAGTTGTCTCTCCACTGGGTCTAGGTTCATACTGGCGTCATCCCAGTTCAGCATGCCCAGAAAAACTCCAAAGAGAGGCATCGGGTCCTTCTTGATCAAATGCCTGAACCATTTGAAAAGATTCTATAGAGAAACATGAAGGATCCTTATTTCAGCCTCTTCTTCTTGGATTTCATTCTTTCCTCATAGGTGAGGGTTTGAGTATGCATTGCAAATTGAGAACCTTGCTAACCTATTAAATTCTTTGGCATCTCATGATGAATCTCGTCCTCCCGTTGTGCCCTTCAAACAGGGAGCATATTAAACACCTCAATGCCTTCAACCATGATTATGGAGTTGCTGTCACCCAAATCCTGTGACTCCGCCTCCCCCTTGAAGGACTTGGTGACTAAATTGCAGTCCTTGAAGTGTTCCCTCCAACACCTGGGTCAGCAGTTCTTCCCTAAACTGCACAGCGCCCGCAGTGATTCCTGCTGCTGCTTTCTGGAGGTTGAACAGTATTTTTAGAGCTTCCTTGATACCAACCAGTTCAATTATGTCATTTTCCACGTCTTCTAAATGTCTTCTTGCTTTTGAAACTCTAGATAGCTTCTGGCCACCCGAATCTGTCACGTGTTTCAGGAACGTCCAAAGAAACCAAGCCCTGAAGGTCTCCTTTCACAGTACTTCATTTTTCAGATAACATCTTAGGACCACTCAGATGAATTTACACACACATGCATGTATCACAAGTATGTAAACATTTCCTACAAGGTATCTATGCAATATTCATCTATTACCTGCAGCTACAAACAGGATTCCTGCCCCAAGGATGATGTTCCTTTTGCTTTTATAGAAACGACTAGCAGCGATGCAAACCCCACCCATCAGCAGCAGGATGGCACTAAGGATTGGGAAGATGTTGGAAGCCCTGACTACTCCTGAAAAAGAAAAGAGGAATGACAGTAAGCAACCAGCAAGAAGGCGGCTCGGAAAAACAGGTTACAACATGTTAACAACGGATTAAACAGTTTTAACTGCTGATAAAAGTGACAGAGGATACAAATATCCTCTGTCACTTATTCCTATTGACATAGGAATAACAGAGAGTTGGCCATTCTAAGGTAAAAAACCCAGCGCATACAGTGTTCATGTTTTGTTTTGTTTTTTCATCCAGACGGCTTCCCGCGCCCCCCCCCCCTGCAATGACACGGCGCCCCCCCTAGGGGGTGCGCCCCACAGTTTGGGAACCTCTGGTTTAGAGTATCGTGCAATATCAGTGGTAGAAAAAAGTTTATTTATTTGACTTCACTAGACATGCATGCCCAAAGACGTTGATTTAAATCACACATTTTTAATAAATATATCTATTCTTAAAGGCTACTACAAAAAATTAGGAAGACCCTTAAAAAAATCATGTGCCATGTAATGTAGCAAGCAATACAAAAATTTAAAAATGACTTAAAGAATATTCTACTGTCAGAGAGGACATAGTTTGCTTGATTCTACACATGCATTTGAATCAAAATGCTCCCATGTGGCTTCAAATCTTTCTTTAGGTTTGCTAACCAAAAACACAAACACACACACATACACACATTAACACTCCTCTCTCATCTAGGACAACTAGGCCACTGGAGAGAAAATGCCACCTAAATGCCAGCAAAATGCCTCTGCAACATTGTAAACAGAGCACAGGCTTTATGCATGCACAGGCTCACATGTAGCATATCACAGAGCAGAAAGACATCACTGCAGGGCACTGAGTGCGAACTAGGGCACCCCATCTCACTGGCCTTCTACACACTGTCATATGTTTGTTTGTGTGTTTCTTTGGGACAATGTCGTCAGAGGAAAAAGCGATTTGAACCCCAATTTCTACACTTCGTGCTCTATCTGTTTTGCATATATCTGCCTCATCATTCAGATCATACACTCACAATTTAGTGAAAACCACCTAATGACTGAAAATGGTCACGTTTGTAGCTTCACACTGACAGGTAGCCTAAGCTGCTGTCACACTGTTACTTATTTTGCATTGCATGAAGGTAACACATGAATCTGAGCATGAATAAATGAAGGGGAATTTCTGAAATATCAACTCCTGCCATGTTTTCAAAGTATGTGTTGCTTTTAACGTGTTCCCATTTTTAATACAGCATGTAGTCTAAGACCAAAGTGATGAAATGCCATTTTCTGCGATGTCATGAAGTTTACTTTTTATTTTTAAATAATATTTTTGGTCTACATATGAGAATGTGATGTAAGTATTTGACATGTATAAAGAATCTCCTGGTTCACCTGATCAGTCTGTGTGCGTTTTCCAATCACTAAATCCACCAAAACAGCAATACTCTTTAGTGTGGATGTTGTTATTAAGGGAAGAAGACTCAAATTGAGCTTTCAGTGCCAATGAGGAAAAATAAGCGGGAAAACACAAGTAAGAAGTAAGAAGTCATTTTCGAGGATATGCAAAGACATATCTGGGATTCACGTTGGTTGAGAGAGGACAGAAAATAACAGGAAGGCTAAATGGAATATATGAGAAGCTGGATTTACACTGACCATAAAAATGAGCAAATTGGAATAAATTTCCTTACTGAAAACACATCGATTTTGAAAAAACAAAAAACAAAAAAAAAAACAAAAAAAAAACATGTTTTTAGAAAAAAAAAGAATTTTAACTAGAATGAGGTGGGTTTTTCAGCCTTGTCAAAATGCAATTGAAACACTTTTATTGCATCATGTAACTCAGGCCAATTTGCAGCAGCAGCAGCAGCAGCAGCAGCAGCACACTTATTTGTAGGTACTGGCCTCCAGGGACGATGTGCAATTGACTCCACCAGAGGTCAAACAGTTTATCAAAAGCTGAGTTATTCGAGAGTGTTGAATGCAGAACTTTTCCGTAAAATCGCAGACTACAATTTCTCAAAAATGCACCACAAGTAGCCATCCCAATCATAAGGGCCCTGTCACCTAATGCCTAAGACACAGATGTCTCCCCTTTGATGGCTGATGATGAGCACTAATGCTGCGGCTGAACACTTACATGAATATATCTCATGTAACTGTCTGCATCCTCCGCCATCTTGATTTTGAATGAATTATTGCACAAATGTACTTATTCACATGCGATTTTAATTGCATGTCTTATTTACTGTAAACACAACAATTGCAAAATTGTGGTTTTTCGACATTAGCAAAATATCCAAAAAGTTTTGCGCATATTTGTAATGGAAACAACCCCGCCTCTCGCCTGGAACGTTAGCTGGAGATAGGCACCAGCACCCCTCCCAACCCCACTGAGGGACAAGGGTGTTCAGAAAATGGATGGATGGATGGATGTAATGGAAACACAGCTAGAGTAGCTCTGATTTATTTTTTTGAACTCCACTCTTTTGTAAATACACACAGAGTGCAAGCCAGGCTATGTGTGCTAGCTATAAATCTGAGACGCTAAAGATAATTAGAAGTGTCCCCTGCAAAATCATTTTGGTATCGCTTTATAACAGTAAAACCCTGATTTACAGTTATTTATCCTGTTCTGATTCATGAGCATTGACTTACGTAGGACATACTCTGCTCCATCATGGTCAAAGTCCGCGTCCTCTGGGAAATGATTAATCTGAGAACACACTCCTCTCTTCACTCCTGGGAAATAAGAGAAGAAAAAGGGTGACCTGAGTCAACAAAACGCCCAAACTCATAACTACAGTCTTAACGATAGAAAACAACAGCAATCCTGAAGAACAATCTAAATAACGTGAAAACAGTGGTATCTTAAATTTTTTTAAAAGTTTCTTCTCAACTCTCCACAGAATAGCAAACTTCAACATATTGGGGGGGAATCACAAGCACTACTGGAGCTGCTTCTAGAAGCAAAAGGTGTTAGTGAAAACACAGAGTTTCATTCCTACGCATACGGAGACACACAGCCAGACAGATAACTACCCGCATCTTGCATGTAAACAGACAGACGGACGCATGATGATGAGAGCACAAAACTGTTGCTGATAGATGGATTGTGAAACAGATGAAATGTTGGAATGAAGAGACACAGACGGAAGGAGACGGAAAGATGTGAGATGAGATGATTTCTGTCTCATAGATCTTTTATTTCCTCTGGTTAGTCTGAAAAAAAAAACCCAAAAAGCAGATGTAGGTACAAAGGAGTGGGAGGTCATTGAGGTCACATTCTTGGATTTGGCCATAATAGCTTCAAGAGAACCATAAGCTGGACATGCAGCACCTTACATTTTATTATATTCTATTTTATTTTATTTTATCTTTATTTCACCGGGTTAGTCCAACTGAGGTCAAAGATCAATTTTACCAGGGAGACCTGGTCAAGACAGCAGTGGCACTGTTACAATAAAAACAAACAGCAAACATTCAAATTTGCTCACCATAAACACTCACACACAGACAATGCACTGTAATGAAACCGCCATATTTTTTAAACCCTCCAATAAAACCAGAGTTTGAAGTTGAAGCTTAGATTGTAAATTATCTGTGTGTCAAAAATCTGAAGCTTTCTTTTCCAGTTCAGTTCACAGTTTGGGACAATAGATTTTAGAACATCCATAGACCTGAGACTGTAACTTCTACATTTCCTTGTAAAGAAATAAGATAGATAAGAAGGCGCAGTATCCAGAATAGTTTCATACATAAACACATACCAAATGACTTAGCTGTTATACATGTAAAGATGTCCAGTTAATTTTAGACTAGAGTGCACAATGCATAGGGAAACCACAGTTGGTAATAATAACCACTCCTCACAAATAAGGTCCCATGGAACACACTATGTGAAGACAGTGGCTCGAAGCATCCATATGCAAAGCATCTTCATAGTCCAGGTAGAAAGGTTGTTTCCACCAGATTTTTTACAACATACTGAATATGGTCATTAAAAGTCAAATGGTCGTGATGTACTCTGTCCTCTCAAACCTACAGCTGGTCGTTGCTGAAGGTTTCTTCCTCTTACAGGTGAGTTTTTCCTCTCCACTGTCGCTATGCATCCTCAGTAGGAGGGATTGCTGAAAAGTCAGCAACACAACGCAGGTGATTGTCTACTGTCGCTAGATGATGCAATCCGATGGGTTTCCTCAGATAGGAATGTCTGTATGATTGGATAGGAATTACTTTTTGTTTCGTAACATGCCTTCAGATGACATGCTGGGAAGTGGCACCACATAAATAAACTGAATTGAACTTGTGTATTTGTAATTCTCACGGCCACATCAGTAATCTGCAAATAAGAGAGAGCAGAGCAGTATGTCTCCGTCCACAGCATAATACTGCTGCCCACCCACAGACATAAATCTTTTAGAGCCAGCCTGTCCCGCATTTCCACCACAGCTACACCTCACTGCATCACTGCACGACCACTGAGCATCTGTCTCTGATGAATACTCCACATACATCAAGGATACATGACCTCCAAGCTGTGCCAAAACACTGTCAGCTTTACTGCACCGCAACGCGAGCGAAAGGACTGAATGGAAGTTACGGAGGGGGGAGTCAGGGGGGAAAGCAGGGACAGATGAAATGTAACGTTTAGAGAGTGAGACAAAGCACGAAGACGGAGGAAACTGGGAGAGTGGGGTAATGAAAGAAGAGGGTGGGGGTTGCTACTGCAGCAAAGCTGCAAGGGCTTGAGCTTATCTGTAATTGGCTGCTTTGCTATCAGGAAGCTTAGCAATGAGGACAAATTAGCTTTATACAATGACCAAGCTCGGAATGGGTTGGAGATGCTTTAAAAAGAGAGCCAAGAGATTTTTTTTTTTTTTTTTTTAGGGGACCAGAAAGGCTTCCACCTCAATGTGGATGTGAGGAAAGGCACAGATCAGTCAGCTCACACACCCCTTCGACTGTGGCTCCTCCGCTGTTAACTCCATCCCAGCGTTTCAGTGTTGAGCTCTAGCCAGGCACTCAAATGTATAATGAATTAGCAGCTTGTGCTGCTGTAACAAGCTGAAGATCGAGAGACGGATGCTGCCAGATTTTGTATCAACTGCCTCTTTCAAATCTGAAATCGATGAGAGAGCAGAGGCTTTTGTTTCAAAACAAGACTGAAACAAATGCAGCCTGAATCAAAGACAATGAGTAATGGATTATTTTTGAGAGGAGGTTACGCTTCAGTGTCATGTAATTAGAAAGCGATTATGCAAAAAATTGTTTTCTTGTTACTCTGGCACCGGGTAACAAACACGACTGAAAACTATATTCTATAATAATACTACTCTCTTCTAAGATGCTTCTGTGACATCCAGTTAATTATAAAAAGAGTCCTAATCCCTTTGTGCAGAAACAAAGGACACTACAGGATTTTAAAAATACTTTTCAACATGAAATCGTATATATTGCAGAGAAATGTGAGGTTTCTAGATGATACTCATAGGTTTAGAGATTTTTCTGTTTAGTAAAAGTAAAAAAAAAAAAAACTGTTAGGGACATGTTTGAAGCATTTTTGGGGATAAACTTAAAAAACGTTTATTGATCCTTTTTAAATTGATTTTAGCTCTTCAAAAATGTAATATCAGACAAAAANTATGTAGAAATTATTATTTTATCAATAAAAAGGAAAAAATAAATAAATTGCTCTTGGGGGGAATCCGGGTGCTGTCAATTATAAAATTAATCATATTGTATTTCAAAGATTGTTTTTAGCAGTAAAAATTTAATGTTCCCAATCCCAGATCATAAAACACACATCCGTATTTGCCCTGAACCCCCCTATTTGCGTTAAATGGTTTGTTCCTGCTTCAGAGTGACGCTGGCGGCAGCAGACAGTAGAAGATGAGAACGACTGTGGCAGTTACTAAGCTAAGAAAAGTTATAAAATCAGGTTTTCAAAAACAAAATAGAGGGAGAGAGAAAAAGTCAAGAGTGTTAATTTATAACCCAGTTTTTCTCCAAGAGAGGTGGGTAGACTGTGTGAGATTATCAACCATTTAGCATAGTTAGCTTAGCTACAGACTACCGTTTGGTTCCTTTTAACCCTAACCATAACCCTAAGAAAGAAAGAAAGAAAGAAAGAAAGAAAGAAAGAAAGAAAGAAAGAAATATTTTTTGTTATTTTTAACAACACATTTATTTTTCAATAAAAATACATTTCAGCATTGATTACTTTTCACATAAACATTGAATTAAAAACTAGCTTTCTTTCCTGAACATTCCAATTCTGTATCTCCCACATCAATTTCGGTTTGAGAACCAACAAAACTTTCAGAAACTTTTCTTTTTTTAGACATTTCAAAACCCCCTTCCTCTGGTGTTTGACTGCATCCCTCCACCACTGTGTCTTCAGCATTTGTTTTTCTCTGAAGAGGCATTAGTAAACTTTGACTTTGTTCCTCTACACTGTCATCTTCCTGCTTTTCTTGTGAATCATTCACCATTTGATTTTTCAGGATCGGTTCATCCACCAACCCCCAGCATGCAGTGCAAAAGAAAGAAAGAAAGAAAGAAAGAAAGAAAGAAAGAAAGAAAGAAAGAAAGAAAGAAAGAAAGAATCCTGTCTTACACCACTTTTCCACCAACTGATGTATTGCGCGCTTTGCTGGGACACCAGCAGCAGGAAACTTTGTGGAAAAAATGTTCCGTGTTTCCTTAATGGAGCCCGTGAGAACGTACGCCTCCACTTTCACTATATTCACAATAAATTCGGTTGAAGGGTTGGGCTGACAAGATGCTACAGGAAGGATTCACTCGGCGCGCTACTCGGAACAGGAAGGCGGGCTACTTTTTCGTGGGCCACCCTGTATTTTGCATAAATAGCATTACTTCACATGATCAAGTTTTTCACCTTCAGTTCTGTGTCAACTCCATCAGACGGACTTTTTGTTGTTTTTTGTTTTAAATAATATTAAAACAAGACTCTTCTGATGTTATTATAATAATCATCAAGTCTCTCAAATTAATCTCCATCTATTGGTTAAAGTTCTGAGCCAGGAAACCCTTCAGCATGACAACAGAGATATTTTACACTGAGCTGCTCTCATCTTCACTCATTGTATAAAATCCTGATATTAAAAACTGAGGGAAACTTCTGTTTTACTTTGAGAAAGGACAAGATAATTAGAGATAATGAGTAAAATACTCATCTGACTTTCTGACTTGGATTTCAACAGTTTTCTAAAACTTTTTGGTCCATTAATATATTTAGTTGGAAGTGGTTTATTCAGGATCCCTGATCTCTACTTGTTGCAACATGATGAACGTTCCCACAATCCCCACTGACAGCAGTGCATTCCAGTTATGTCTGAACCTGAAAACAAGTCACTTTTGCTTTTGATATCGTGTCGTTAGACTGACTCTACGCTTCTGAACCCCTGAGGCAAAGTTCCCTTGTTTTTCTTTTTCCTTGAACGACGCTTGTGAATTTATAAAAATGTCACTTGGACTCTTGAGGCAGAGCAGGACTTCTCCTAAACAGACTTCTCCTCAGTAGCCAACTCTAGGGCTGTAGTGATACAACAATCTCACGACACGATACGATACACGATATTCTGCTCACGATACGATATATATTGCAATATTCAGCAAATGATACAATTCAATACACTTTTGCAATTTTCTGAAAGATTTTAGAGGGACAGAGTGATTTTGGTGACATTTTGTGACTGTTATATAGTTGGATTGAATTCATTTAACTGAAAACTGATTAAAAGCACCAACTACACAATACCTGGCTCTGGTTGGACATGGACACAGACTTAAAGTCAACAGCTGGACAAAATGAATGAAAGAAGTGGTGAGAAAACATGTTCCTTTTAATTGAAACAGTACAAACTGTAGCTTACATGCATTTGTAAAGTAAATAAACTGCACAAAGTAGCCTGCTCTGAATAGTTTGATACCTTTTTAACCTTGACACTTAACATCTGAAGGAATCACTCTAAGCCTGATGACCTAATCTCTCTCCTGGTGAAGCAAGCAGTGAGTGAGCAAGGGGACAGTTGGATGTTACAATACTTGCTGATGAATGTTGATTTTTTTTCTGGAAAGAAAATATCAATATATATAGCAAAATCGATATTATTACACAGCCCTAGCCAACTCTTACATTTCCTGACTCTGACAAAACTGTTCAAATGAGAGCAGTATTGTTTAATCACTGACTGCATGCCACAACTAACTAACTAACTAACTAACTAACTAACTAACTAACTAACTAACTAACTAACTAACTAACTAACTAACCCTTCTGGTTCCTTCCTCAGATCAAACGAAGGTATAACACACGTGTGTTTCTCTGTAAAAAGAAAAAAACAGACAGAAACTTTGCTTCACTAAGGTGTTCTCTGTTGCAGCTGAAAATGTTTTGTTCTTTTGGAAACTGTTTCACATTTGTGCTGCACAAAATTCACCAAACACTCAACCAATCAAAATTTGGCTTTTCTTTTTGACAACTCAAATATGTTTTTTTAACTGAAGAGGAAAAAAAGGTTGCAGTTAAAATAAAATTAAATGAGATCCAATTCCAAAGCTGGTTTAATGTAATTTGAGAACCTTGATCTGATCTGCACCTACTGTGGAAGAAACCTGAAAAAATCCAACATTTCTAACAACTAACCTAATAGAATATGGCATGATAAAATACTGTTAGCTTCAGTCACAGCTTCTCTCTGTCCCATCAGGCTATGACAGCTGATAAACCTGATCACCCACTCCAACCGTTGGGTCTTGGTGAAAGACAGCCATCATCACTGCTGGAGGATCAGGAGCTCTTGACCCCTCACACAGCTCTGAAGGTCAAAGGGCACGCCTCCTGGATCCACACCATCCACTGCAAGCAGTGCTTGTTGCACAGCCAACACTCATTTCTTAACATTTAATTAATTTTATCTTATCTTATCTTATCTTATCTTATCTTATCTTATCTTATCTTATCTTATCTTATCTGTTGCTTGTTCTGACCTTTTCTGTCAGTCACTGCTCTGATCATTTACAGTAACACATGTTTCAGTATTTTATAAAAGTGACTGAAGTCAAAGTTTCTTCATGTAAAAGCAGGAAAGATATTAGGGAACCAAGCTGGTGGTTCATGTTTGAGAGTTTATGCGATAAGGCAGAGAGTTTTTTCTCTCAGGTGGGGCTTCCTGGTTTATTCACCAGTTGAAACACGTCCAGTAGGAGAGTTTTATCTTATCGTTGAAAAACCTGTCAGGACTGCTATTATCGCTCATATCTATGAAGAGACAACAATAGGATGAGGCTTTCCGAAAAACTGTTTCTGTAAAATGAAAGTAATTAATTTTTACTGCAGCACCCACACATATCATATCATGTTTGAAATAGGATGAAAATACATTTGAAAACAACACTAATAATAAAAAAAAAATCTACTAATTCAGGGTTTTCTCTTTAAAGCCAAGGTAACTTAAATCTTTTAATTCATTCTGAATCTTTTGTTTCATTCTGAATGTTCAGATAACTAAAACCACAAACTAAAGATGTTATGATGTTTATTCCAGTTTCTGCACCTGAACACTATTGTGATGTTTCACTTTGATACTTTGACAATTTAAAGCCAAAAGTTTCGTTTAACCTTTCTGATTTTTATTACCATTTCATGTATGAAGTTTGAAGTCATTGTGTAATTATTTCATAATAATCTTTTTTTCAACATTTTTTCAGAACAGGTCCATCAACATAGAAAAGGAATTTTAGCTTTTATTTTACCTGCTTGAAGCTGAAAAGAATTAAATTAGTCTTTTATTCTGTTGACAGGAATTTTATCTGTAAACCTTCCACTTTCTGTTGTAAAAACAGCAAAGATGGAGGAAGAAAAAATATCTAAACAGCTTCAACAATAATTATCAACATGTTTATGCTGATGAAACTTGATGGAAGCTTTAATATGAGCACAGCTGAACTCGTACCAATCTGGCACTTTAAGGTCTGTAAGGTGATAACCGGACTGAACTCTGATAAGAACCTGGACGACTGAATGTGATGTTAACACCTCTTCACTGGAGTCCGACACATTTACTACATGAAGGTAAATGTGAACACTGGCAATGTTCAGATAATGTTCCTGTTCAGTCAAGTTTCCAAAAATCAATAATTATTTTAGGAAGAAACATAAAACTAATCATATTAAAAATGTAGATGAAAATCACAATACACTTTAATATTTGTTGTCTTGAATAATTCTTTTGCCACAAAGACATCAGATCTGTTTCAATCTGTTCTGACATTTAACAGGTTAGATTATAATGAATGTATCGTAATAATGATGTCATTGAGTCCCTTATTGTATTGCTACAGGTTCATGTTTTAAATCATTTCTAAATGGTTTCTGGACTCAATCAGAACCACTGATCTGTTATTCTGTCTTAATGGAGATGGTTACTGTGATGAATTTATTATGATTCATTTTATGTGTTTGAAGTATATTTCTTTATTGAGGGACGATGGCGGAGAAGGTGGCAGGACTTTGTCCCACAATAGGTGGGTTGCTGGTTCAATTTGCCTCTGTTGTACCTCTGTCAAGCTGACTGTGGCTAGTAAGCAGCGTTTGCTCAGTGTGTGAATGAACGAATGACTGAATGCAGTGTGAAGCACTTTGGAGTCATCTGGACTTTATAAAGGTGATACAAGTACAAGCTAAATATCATCTTTCATAGAAATAATAAATTAGAGCTCTGACTTATTATTTCACAGATATATAAGGAATATAGTTTTATAAATATGTTGTAAAACAAAATACCTTAAGACTAGCACGGTTTTGCTTTTTCATCACAGATCTCATAATCAGTGTGTTGGGTCATTGTTTCTTTGTAGAAAAGCTATAAATGTATTTATTGATGTTTCATTACAGAAATATATTTTCAAAATATCCAAGGTTGTTTCTCTTAGTTTCTCACAAGTTTAAATTAGTTTTGATTGAAGGTATTTTCTTCATTTCTGTGTATGATGAGCCTGAAGCTCTCATTCTGTTTAATTGTTTCCACTTTAATGTCTAGCTATGACTCAGTCTGCTCTTTATTTGGGCTGTTGGTCAGAACACATCAGTCATCAGGGAGAATATACGTTTTTAAGATAAACAGGATTAATGACGTAACAATAAGGCTGGGTTTCCCAGCTTCTTCCCGAAGCAGGAAGTTTAGGAAGATTTTCTTCTCTGATCTTCAACGCGGAACATCTTCACGGTCAGTTTGATTTCATGTTTGCAGATTTAAAGAGTTTTAAAAATTCACAAAATAAAGGAAAGTTTAGCTGATGTTAGAAGAAAGTTTTAGCAGCAATATTAATACGATTCTTCATGTTTCTGTTGAGGTTTGTTTCGCTCTTTTCTCCCAGTTCTTTTCTGCGCTTTTATTGCATCAAACATTTTTATATTAACAGCAATTATCTAAACTCCGTGGAGTTTTTTCTGGCTGAACAGATTGAATAAATTGAACTCTGCGAGTCTTTTTACCCTGTGCGCGGTCCGGCGGTCAGATTTTCCTACCGTAGCACCGGGGGGGTCTGAGGGGGCTTGAACACGTCCCTTTTATCCTTGATGCCCCTAGTGCCCTTTTTCCCCCAAATTTCTTTTTACACTTTTTCTTCTTTTACTTTTTTAAATCTGTGTGTCAGGAGGCCTGCTTGTGCCCCTCAGCAATCATACGTGCCTAAATATAATAATTTAGCTAAATAAACTAGTCTCAGTCTAATAATGACTCTCAGAGCCTCCATGTTGTTCAGACACCATGGTGAGGAGGAGGAGGGGGATCTGAACCTCTAACTATCAAATTATGGGCAAGAATATTTTTCATACGCTGGTTTGTGAATAAAAACGTAGGTCTGATGTTGACGTTAGAAAAACAGTATTTATATTGTCATAATTATCCTCGCAATAGCAGGAAAAAACCCGCCTCGCCCCTAAACACAGAAATGCTTCGGCTGCAGAGAAACTCCTGACTTTAACTTCATCAGGCTGCTAAAAGCCCGGTTCTACAGGCGGTCCGAGTCGGTCCCACCGACAGATAGAAAGAATATCTTTATATTAGAAACGGTACTGAGACTGTCACCGCGTCGCGACGCAGCTCAAAGACCCGGTACCACCACCCGGTACCACC